AAGAGGAGAGAAATGTGTTACGGGCCCGGGAACCAGCTCTGCTGCTTGCTTGCTCTTCACATCAGGAGCCGCTTTCTCTTGGGAAGTTAGAGAGTTGGGTTAAAGTGGGTGCTGGTGCCTGGTTCTAGAACGCTCCTGAGGGTCTCTGTCTCCATGTAGAAATGGGGGAGACCAGGATAGGAAAGGAGCTGTTGCCAGGGAAGCTGGGCGTCACAGCTCTCCTTGGTGATGAAGAGAGCACTGTATTAGGAGTCTTAGCTCACCTGCTCCCCACCCCCATCTGCCTGTTGGGGACTTCTCACTTGGCCTTGGGGCAGCAGGGAGGAAGGGAGATAATTTTTGTAGGGGCACTTGTTAACAGTGGCCACATCGACAGTTCCGCACGTTGTTGGGGGGACAGTCAGGGGTGGGTGGGTGGGCCATGGGGGAGCAGGGCAGAGGTCAAGGGAGTTGGCAGATCAGACCAGGAAGGCAGGCTGTGAGGATTGTGATGAGACCAGAGCAGAGGCAGCGATGGGGCAGGGGACAGGCCTGGGGAGGTAAGTGACTTGCCCATAAATGGGTGTTAGGCCTCCTAACCCAATGCTCAATCCGCGCCACGGGAGAGCCTCTCTGGACCTCCATGGCTGGTGGTCAGGTCTGGGTGTGGAGTAAGTGGGAATCGTAGCCTGTCTTCCTCCCGGGGCCTCCCAACAGCCAGACCTGCTGGCCGGCGGAGCAGCAGAGACTGGGTCCTTTCCTGGCTTCATTACCGCCATCCCCCTCTTCCCACCCACACTCAGGGGCTTCGGAAAGCAAGGTGCTCGGGACCTGGGAGCCCTGCCCAGGAGCACCTCCCTCGCATCCAATGCCACCACATCGGCTTGCTCAGCCATCGCCCCAGAGCTTCCTTAAGACACCTGGGCACTCTGGTTCTGAGGATGGACATTTATTAGCACACCCGAGTGTGCTGCACAGAACATGTATTCAGACAGGGGTCCCTGCCCAGGGGGGCTCACAATCTAAAGGTGACACCACACATACACCCAGGACACAGACGCAGAGAGCAGGGCATCTTCAAGGGACACAGATGGTTGGGGAGACGCGGGCTGGGGCATGTGGGGCGTGTTCAAGCGTTGCTCTTCTTTTTGTCTTTGTAGGGGAGGGAGAGGAGAGCAGGACATGGCCTGGGAGGGCCTTCCAGAAAGCAGCGAATCCCGACGGACTTGCAGGAGAAAACACCAGAGGCCCCTGGTCCCAGGCACAGGGAGGGATGGGGAGTCTCTGCAGGCATGGATGAAGAGAGACCCCCACGGAGTGAAGGCAGGAGATTAAAAAAGGCCAGGAGGAGGCCTGGAGCCCGTGGCATGGGGCTGCCACCTCTGCCAGGCCGAGCTGTCCTGCTTTCAAACCTAGATTTTTCCAGAGCGAGCCTGAACAGAAGTCCTGACAAGGAGTGCTCGTGAGGCTACCTCCCAGACCCTAGGGCTCCCTCCAATCTCTGAGCCAGAGATCAGAACCTTTTAACGGGACATTTAAACCAGGCTGTCGGAAATTCATGGGGCAGAAGGGGAGAGGGCGGGCAGCTTCAGGTGGGGGTACTTAGTGCAGGAGGCACCATGGCCCCTTCGCTCGGAGTGGGCAGGGGACACACGACCACAGAGGGCACTCATTTCTTGTGTGCCTGCGACAGATGTAGCACCTTCCTTCTGAAGCATCCGGAGAGCTGCCAGGCCTCGGCTTCTCCTGGGCTGTGTGTGGGAGGGAAGGGGAAAGGGCTGGGATGATTATTGCTCTTTTGTGGACGGAGTGAACTGACACCAGGAGGAAGGAACTAGCTTGCCCGGGGCCACTGTGTCTGGAGAAGGAAGACACTGGGGCCCACCTTCCCAGGTCCTCAGGTTAGGACCGGCCTTGGGTGTTTTTGAGTTGGAGGGACTTTTACAATACTAAAGGATGAAACCAGAAAAGGATGGAGAGAAGCCACAGGTCCAGCCAACAGACCCAGAGCTTCACAGGGAACAGAAGGAGGAGGACGTGCTGGCCTGAAACCACAGCGGCCCAGCCAGAGTTCAGGTGGTGGTGGGGAAGGTGGAGGGTCTCCCTTTGGTTTGTCTGACCTGCCTTGGAGGGTGGTTCCCCTGGGAACTGAGGAAGGGGATGTCGGGCTGGGTGAGCTAGAGGGGCACCCCTCAGGCCCCGAGGAGACTCCACTCCCAATAAGCCTTGCTTTAGGCCTGATCCAGGCGGTATGGCTGCTCCTCTGCTTTCTGGGTAGCTGGTGGGCTCATATGCTCAACCTGGGGATGGGCTGGAAGGGCCTCATCACCCGTGAAGCCAAATCCCAAAGGTGACAGGTGAGGGGAGATGCAGCCCCAGGCTCCCCATCCCCTCACCCCACTGTTTCTTCCCCTGGAAGGAGAGGGAGAGCTAGGACCCACGGAGGAAACAGCCAAGGCCCTACTTTTTCACGATCCTTTATTAATCAGAACAGGCCTTGCCACAAAAAGCAGGGCCCATTCCCACAAAAATATGATTTTGCAAAGAGGAAATCTTGCTGGCTTAGAGGGTGCGTGTGGTGGAAAAATTTTGTATGATTCTTTTTTTTCCTTTTTTTTTCTTCAGTTTTCCTTCATTTCTCTTCGCTGCAAATTTTTTTGTGATAGTGGGCTTTTGTTGTTGTTGTTGTTTTTATAAAACGCTTGCACTCAAGGACTCAAACACAATACAAACAGCGACCACCAATCCCCACCCCTGGGACCCCAGAGGGGCTGGGGACTCTGGGGGCTTCCCTTGGCTTTTTTTGTGGCTGTTTTCCTTGTCCCTCCCCTGGCGTCTGGCGCCGGTGGGCAGGTGCGGGGCTCTGGAGTAGGTGGAATTTGTACAGCAGTTACGTGGGGAGATGGTCGCAAGAAAGGATACCTGAATAAGATAACAACTAAGTCTAGGGCGCCCACAAATATGGCAGATGACCGCTCATGAAGGGACCGGGGACACAGTGGAGAAGAGATAGATGGGGCCAGGCAGGCCTCAGCTATCCCTGGAGGCTCAGTGGGGGGAGGGGAAGGAGGGCCTTGCCTTCAGGCTGCGGCGGTAATAATACTTTACTCACGGGTAGCACCTTCAGAATCCTGCCTCCACCCCCAGGTCGGGTGACAGCGGCCTTACAACCTGCCCTAGGAGGTAGGTGAAATATTATTACCATCATTTTACAGATGGGGAAACTGAGGCCCCGGAAGTGTGGGTGATTTGTCCAAGGTCCTAGGATGGTGACAGGGCACGAGGGCCCTCCCCCCACCCTCAAGTTCCCCCTTTCCTTGTTCTTCGATAGCCTTAGACCGCCCCCGCCCTCACCCCATACCACCCGCTGCTTCCCTTGCTAGCCCACCCTGCCCTGGGCCCACCACTTGCCACCCCTCCCCCGCGTCCCAGAGCTCAGGGTGCCGGTTGCGGTTGGAGAGCCCCAGGCCCGGTTCATCGACGTGCCTGGGTGGGGTCAGATTTGGAACAGGCACGGCCTGGAGACGCTCTCTGTGTGTGATTGGCTAAGAGCTTCGGGGACCGGGCTCGGAAAACGGGGATGCAGTTGCCCCGCCCACTCAATGCAAGTTGGTTCAATCCCCGAGCGCTCTGTAGCAGACACCAGGGCCTGGGACTAGGCTCGCTCTCCCACCGGCCTCCGGCGTAGAGGGGCACAGGATTCCAGCGAGGGATGGAGGAGGATGGCAGATCCCCTCCGCTTCTCAAAGCTTCCAACAACACCCTTTCTTCGCTTCCACTGTCTCCGGGGTCGCTGCCCTCCCGTCCCCGCTGGGGGCTGGTTCCCCAGCCTGTCCGATAAGGACCGTGCCGTTGGGGCAGACCCCCATTTTTTTTTTTTTTTTTTTCCTTTGGTTTTGCGGGCTTCAATTTCTTTACTATTATTGGTCTGTTCAAAGTTTCTATTTCTCCATGATTCCATCTTGCTACACTGCATATTTCTGAAAAAGTTTTTCTAGGTTATTCAATTTGTTGGCGTATTAAGGTTCACAGTAGTCTCTTATGATCCTTTGTATTTCTGTGATGTCAGCTGTTATGTCTCTGTTTTCATCTCTGACTTTATTTGTTTGAGAATTCTACCTTTTACTCTTAGGCTAGCTAAAGGTTTGTCAATTTTGTTTATCATTTTAAAAAAAACAGCTTTGCATTTCATTGATTTTTTTCTATTGTCTTTCTGGTTTCTATTTTGCTCATTTCTGCTCTGATCTCTATTTCCTTCCATCTTCTAACTTTGGGCTTAGTTTGTTCTTCTTCTTCTAGTTCCTTGAGTTTTAAAGTTAGGTTATTTGTAATCTTTCTTTTCCTTAATGTAAGCATTTATAATTATAAACTTCCCTCTTAGAACTGCTTTTGTTGCATCCCATAAGTTTTAGTGTGTTGTGTTTCCATTTGTGTTTCTTTCAAGCTATTTTTTTTTTTTTTCTTGCGTTATGCGGACCTCTCACTGTTGTGGCCTCTCCCATTTGCGGAGCACAGGCTCCGGACGCGCAGGCTCAGTGGCCATGGCTCACGGGCCCAGCCGCTCCGCGGCATGTGGGATCTTCCCGAAACGGGGCACGAACCCGCGTCTCCTGCATCGGCAGGCGGACTCTCAAGCACTGCGCCACCAGGGAAGCCCAAGGGCAGACCCCCATTTTAAGCAGAGCTACAATATGGAAAAATTGGGATTTACAAGGAATGTGGGTGACTATTTGCTTTACGTTAGCACTCTTCACTCTACAAAATGATTCACCTACTTTGTATGATATTCCTCTAGATCCTTGAGGTTAGGGAGTAGGGGCGGGGTGGGGGGCGTGAGATTCTAGGTAAGAAACTTGATACGGGCAAAAATGTGAGCGTCTACTGCACAGAGCAGAACGCTCAGCTCAAAGGGAAGTCTACTTAAGGAAGATGGTTCCCGACTGCCTATGCTTTTGCCGTGCTAAGTGGGGGACCCTTTCCAGAGTCTCCTTCCTGGGGTGTCAGACCCATCTGGGGTTGAACTGTGCTCCCAGACCTCGTCCACAGACTGTAGTGTCAGGGCGCCACCTCGCGGTATGTGCCAGGAATGTCAGGCCCAGGCTCGCGGACCCCTGGATTTGAGGCTGTCACCGGCTGTCTTGCATCAATACCGGGACCGGCGTGGGGGTGAGTGGGCTTAGGCAGGGATCATCCCGAAATCTGCTGCCTCCAAGGGGATGCCAGTTCTCGTCTCTGCAGTAGCTGAGGCAGAGGAACCACAGCTTCTTTGTGTGGGGGCAACCTCAGAACTCACAGAATCCTGGAATGTTCCCTGCTTCCTCTGCCTGAACTGAGAGGGGCAGAAGGAGCTGCTCTGAGGGACCAGGATCGGTGGGGAAGGTGAAAGGAAAGCCCTGGAGAAGGTCAGGTGATGGCAGATCAGAGACCACGACGGAATGAAAGGGAAGGTCTATGAGCACAGGGGATGGAGGGGTGGAGGCGCGTGGTTGGGGAGGTCTGCACAGAGACGACGAAAGGGAAGGAAGTTGGAAGGCGTGGCAAACGTTGCCAGCGTGTGGGATACAACGTCTGGGAAGGCTGAGGGTGCCTTTGGATGAGGGTGTTAGGGAAGAGAGCTAGTGGGGGCTTGGGACCCCTGAGACAGAAGGGAGCAGGGGAGTCCTGGTGGAATGTGATACACACAGTGGGTGCCTAATGTTCAAGAGACAAAATTGCTGAGGAAGGAGCTAGTGGAGAGTTTGGGGGAGGGGGGGTGGGGGAGAAGGAAGCAGCCCAGCTCTCAGCCCAGCTCCTGTCTGCCCCCTCTTCCCCACCCTAAGGCTCAAGAGCTTCCCCACCCCCACCCCCCCCCCCCAGCCCCCGGCTCTGTGCATTGACTTCTCAGCCTCCAGCCCTACCTCACTTCACGAAACCCTCTCTGCATCGTCTTCAGCACTGCGGGCCCCAGGGAAACAGGAAGCGAGTTCCCCCACCCGCACACACGCACGCACGCACACGTACACACACACACACACACGGTGGACACAACACAAGTACACAGGGCTGCAGCTCCAGGACCCCGGAGCGGGCTATATACTATCCTCGGTAATCAGGGCCCAGCCGGCACCTGAAACTGCCCTGGAACACGCCTCTCTTGGTCGGGCCAGGGCCAAACGCCTCGACCTCCCCTCTCCTGGGCCCACGTTGCGGCCTGGGGAGGGGGCGGCCTTTCTCCACTCCAGGCACTGCCTTAAAGAAAACGGGGGACCGTGCCCACCTGGCGGGCCTCTGGAGGGATCTGCTCGTCTGCCCGCCTGGCTCTCGTGCTCCGCCCCCCCCCCTTCTTTAGTATGGGCAAAGTCAGGAAGGAAAGGGGCAAAGCAGGAAAATGGCTCCCAGAGCCCCTCCACCAGAGCTGGACCGGTGGGGAATGGGGCTGGTTCTCCCGAGAAATGGGGCTGGATTCCTGGGACCCCCTCCCTGGCCCAGCCCTCAGGATCCTTCCCTCACCCATGGCAGGGGGGCCAGGCCAGGCATTGTGCATAAAGTGGTGAGGGCATGATGGGGACGCAGGCCCTCGGCCCCCTGGGCCTCCCGTGGCCGCATTCAGGCCTTCAGCTGGTGCCACTGGGCCACGGGCTGCCGGGGACGCGCGATCATGTCTTTCCAGTGTTTCACCTCCCCGGGCCCGCTCTTCCAGGACAGGTAGATCTGCGGAGACAGGGAAGAGGACAGCACTAGCGGCACTCTCTCAGGCGCCGCCCCTGTGTCGTTGCGGAAATGGAGCGTCAATGGTGGTGACACTCCATTTCCACAATGGCCTGTGATCATGGGGACCAAGGGGCTTCTGCCTGCAGTGACAACCTACCCCACAGAGGCCCCCCTCTTTTCCTTGTTGTGCCTCCCCTCGGGAGCCTGGGCACGCCTGGCCCTTCCGAATTGGACTCCCAGACTCTTCTGTGGTTTGGGATTGATGGGGATGGAGGCAGTTCTCTCCCACACCCTTCCCTCCCCCACCTGTTGGGCACGGCCTATCTCTCCTTACTGACAATCACTCCCACCGCCTGGGCACTTACTACACACCAGACACTGAGCTAGGGACTTTATATACATAGATCGTCAAATCCTTACCTGTGAGGCAGGTATGTTACTATCCCCATTTTACAGATGGAGAAACTAAGGTACAGAGAGTTAAGAGACTGACCCATGGTCACAGGATTTATGAGTGGTGCAGAGGGATTTAAATCTAAGCCTTTTGGGCTCTATACTATCGGCCCAAGTCTACCTGCCTCTGTGTTAGGGGCCTCACAGCCTCGGAGGGCTGTGTGCATGATCCCCGGGCTGACACCAGCCTTGTGACTGGTGATTAGCCAAGAGCATAGGGCTCTCTAAGCTACCCAGACCAAAGTGAGAACAAATCCACCTTCACCTTGGTTCAGCCGACAGAAGGTAGGACTGTTTCAAAGGGAGCTATAAGTGGTATCCAAAGGATACCCAACTCCAAAAGGCTAAGCTTCAGAAGAGCTTAGAAGTAGGTATGGTTACTTGGCCTGAGCTCGTCAAGGAAGGGCTCAGTAGGTCCCGCTAAGAACACATAGTCCCACTGGGGTGTAGGTGATGCTGCCCTGGGGACCTGTCCCACTTGTGACCGCAGGTGGGCAAGTCATACTCCCTGGGCCTTGCTAGATGGCAGGCAGGGCCAGCTCTCCTCTTTGGGGCCAGCTGCTTCTCTTCCACCCCCAGTAGCTAGGTTCTCCATTCCTATCTGTCTGAGAGGTGTCGCCACCTCGGCCCCCTTCCCCGTGGGCGCCCAGGTCACCCCTTCCCATTTCCCTCATACAGGGCTGTGCCCTGGGTGATCCACGGTCTCCCCTCACTTGCTCCTGGCATCTACCCCTCCCCTCCACCTTCCCTGATCACTGGCTTCCTGCACTGTTCCTGGTCAAACTTCCAAGCCTAAATGGACACACATGCCCTTACTAAGAACTTTTCAAAAACAACTTTCATTATAATAGTAGCTAACATATACGTTCCAAGTTCTGTGCTAAGCCTCTCACCTGTGTTATTTAATCCTCCCAGCACACTGTGAGGTTAGGATCGTCTTACTCTCATTTCAAGAGGAGGAAATGAGGCTCATAAAGGTTATGACTGTTAAGAGGTGGAACTGGCACCTGGATCCAGGTAGTACGACTATCGAGCGCGTACTCTCAACACTAAGCCATAAACAAACACAGGAATAGACATTTCAAAGTAGAAAAGTGGATGCGTTTATGTCACAGAATCGTATCCTGCAAAAACTCAAGGCCAGGCATGGATTTGGGGTTAAAATAGGATGAGGAGGGGTCACTTTCCACAAGGAGAATGTCCACGTGTCTCAGGCAATTCTTACGCCACCCTGTGAGGTTCTGTAGGGTTGGTATTAGTAGCTCCATTTACGAATGAGAACGCTGGAGCTCACAGAGGCAAGTGACTTGCCCAAGGTCACTTGGGCAACTGACCTTGGGGAACCAAGATGAGGTGGGAACCAAAGCCAGGTCTTTGGAGCCTGACTACGGCTCTCAATACTTGGCCTCACGCAGCTCACCCTCTACAGACGGGACGCTGGGTGACATTGCTCCGATGTCCTTACCCTGTCAGAGGGTCCTGTCCAGAGAACCCTCTTCTGGGGATCCAGGGCGCTTTTTCCTACCACCTCCTTCTTTCCCTGCTCTTGCAGTGGTCTGTCCTGAAGTGGTGGACCCACAGTAGGACACTTAGGGAGAATCTCGACCAATCCTCTCGTTTTGAGATGAAACGGAGGCCCTGACGGGGGAGGGGACTGACGCTCTCTCTCCTGCTGTCCAGCCCTGTGCTCATCCACTAGCCCGGCTGCTTCTTTGGAGAACAGACCCTTGCTGGGTGCCCCCCTACCTTGCCAATGACGTCGTTGCGGCTGAGCTTGTCCTTGTCCATGACGGTGATGATGATGGTTGTCTCCCTCAGCTTCTCCGTAGGAACGTCGAAGGCGAAGGACTCGTTGAAGGTGGGGTTCAGGTTCCTCTTCATTGTCGCCGTCTTCCTTTTCTCCACCCGCTTGTCCTTGTACATGAGCCACACCTTCACGTAAGGGTCTGGGGGACAGGCGGGGGAAGGGTCAGGGGAGCAGCGGGGGGGAAGCTGGGGCTGCGTGACTTCCCCAGAGGGCGAGGAAAGCCCTCAGGGAGGAGGAGGGGGCATCGGGGGGGGGGCTCAGCAGATGCAGGGGCCTCAGCCATCACCTAGCGCCCTTCCGCGAACACGAAGGAAAAGACTGAGAGGCCAGGTCTCACCCGAGGTCACGGACGAGTAGTGTCAGAGCTGGGACTAGAACCCAGGCCTCCCCACCATCGTGTTCGCTTTCTTCCTGATTCCGGGAAGGACAGTATCCAAGATGATGCTGACCCTGAGGGTGCTCCAGAGACAGCACCAGGGCTCTAGGGGAAAGGAGCTGGGACTGGAGGTGGGGCACGGGGGACAAGGGCGAGGGCCACAGCCAGGACCCTGATGTCCACATGCAGTGAGACTCCCGTGCGCCAGAAGCTCCCTGGCCCGTCTGCCCTCTGCTGCGAGAAGCGCCAGCACCTGACGTGCCCCCGATGTCCATGGCTTTGAGGTTCCGGGCTTTGATGATGTTCACGATGATGGAGTTGGCAGAGGGGTTGTAGCAGAGAGACAGGAGCAGCTCCCCTCGGCTTCCCTGGGAGGGACAAGTGGAGGGGTGAGGCTGGGCCACTCCTCTCAGCTCCCCTGGGAGGGAGAACAAGAGGGCTGTGGGGACAAGGGGAGCCCGCCCCCCCCACCCCAGGACCCCTCCACTTGGACCTGGGTGCTTACCCGCCCCCTCTGTCTGTCACGGATGCACACCTGGTCTCCCCTCATCCGGCAGGGCTGGGCCCTGCTCCCCGGGTTCTTTATCACAGCCCAGCCTCCCCTGAGATTGTGGGTGGGAACTCTGCTCCGTCAGGCCCGCCCACCTGCCCTGCCCCACCCATAACCTTCCCAATTCCCTGAGCTTGTGAGGGGACTAGGACCGGGCCAGGATCTGCCAGCCTCTCAGCCAGGACCCGCAGGTGGGGCCTTACACTCCCATCGCTGCATGGCTTCAGATCCTTCCAGAAGGTCTGCATCTGGGTCAGGTCCACCTTGTTGAGGGGGATGGACACCTCCCCGATGGGGTCATTGCGGCTGAAGCGGTCGTAGTCCAGGACCTGGAGGTAGAGGACCCTCTGCACCACCTTCTCGTAGGGGAAACCTGGGAGACAGCACAGGGGAAGAGCAGGACAGAGTGGCCACACGGGGCCGGGGCAGGGCCACGCTCCTGGGCAGGAAGGCCCCGGGAGGAAGGGGAGGGCGGTCCTGTGTCTTCCTGCTGCCACCCCACCTGGGTGCAGCTGGTAACACCCACGTTCAGACCCTCCTGAAATGTTAGCAAGGTCTGTCGTGGTCTCATCTGTCTCCCTTGACAGTTCTGCGAGGTGGACGGTATCTTGTCCATTTTACGGAGGAGGAGACTGAGGCTCCGATGGCTTAACTTACCTGCCCAAAGTCCCACAGCTAATAAAGAGCAGACTGGGACGACTCATTCACTGGTTCATCACGGGTCCGTCTCGGCGACTGGGCAGTGGCCCCCTTGCTCTCTGGGCAGCCCTGCCACTGCCAATCATCCTGAGACAAGTCCGGGCCCTGCCTGAGATGGCCATAGCTGGCAGAAAGCAAGCCCCAGGAGGACTCAGGGCAGAGGGAAATGGCAAAGGCGAAGAAAAAGCAGTAGACGCCTGTCCTAGGACTCCGCGCTTTCCCTTCCTCCTCCTGCCGATGCATCAGCCAGTCCTCTGTCCTCCCTCATCAGACCGGCAGCTGTCCCTGTCTCCACGGCCACCTCCCCATCCAAGCCGCTGGCACCTCTTGCCTGGATAGTTGCAAGAGTTTCCAAACAGCCCTCCCCGCTTGTGTACTTTCTCTTACAGTCCCTTTTCAACACGGCAGCCAGAGTGATCTTTTAAAAATAGAAATCACATTATGATACTCTCCTGCCGAAAGCCTTTCGGTGGCTCCCAGTGCACTTAGAATAAAAGCCGTGCACCTTGCCTTGGCTTCAAGTCCTTCCACAACTTGGCCCGCTGTCCTCTCCTTGCTCATCTTGTGACCGCTATTCACTCAATGACTGAGCTCCAGCCACCCTGGCTTTTCCTGCCCCAGCCCCACCATGCCCCGTCCTGGCCTATCCTCTTCCGTCAGGTCTCAGCTTTCTTTCCTGACGTGCCAGATGGGGTCAGATCCCCTGTTTTATACACTAGCACTTTCCTTTCGCAGCACTTATCACAGGCTGTACTAGAGATGAGTCTGACTCTCCCACTGGGCCAGCATTTCCAGGAAGGCATCTCTGTCCTCAACCACCAGATCCCAGCATCTAACACTGTTTCTGGCACACAGTAGGCACTCGATTAAATATTTGTTAAGTGAATCAATAATTGAACAAATGAATAAATGCCCATGAAAGGGCATGGAGTGTGCTGGGCTGGAGCAGGAGATGAGGCCAGAGCGGAGAGCCAGGGGAAGGAGCTTGGATGGGATGTTAGATACTAGGGAGCCAGGGAAGGTCTGAGGCTGGAGTTACAGCCTTGGGAGGCTTAGGCAGAGGAGGGGCCGGCCTGGGGCGGGGGCAGTGGGTGCAGGCCAGCCTGGAGGCCTGAGGCGCTGAGATCCTGAACCAGGGTGTGCGCAGGAAGAAGAGAGGATACTTACTACCTTAGCTCAACTGGTGAAGATGAAGGGAGAGGAAGGGGTCTGGAGGATTCTCGCACCTTTTGCCAAAGACGCTAGAAACACAGAGTTACCTCTCACCAGGGCAGGTGCACTGGAAGAGGAAATCCTATGTTCCCTCAGCCCCCAGACTCTGAATTCCTTCAGGGTCTCTTCCTCATACTGATGGGGGTTATGGGCCGTGTCTTGCTCACCTTGGAGTACCCCAGGGACCTGTCCAGGTGACTTTTTTCTCATTTTTTTTGCCACGCTGCGTGGCTTGTGGGATCTTAGTTCCCTGACCAGGGATTGAACCCGGGTCCTTGGCAGTAAAAGCACGGAGTCGTAACCACTGGACTGCCAGGGAATTCCCCAGGTGACCTTTGGCATCCATTCAGGTAAAATGCATGAGGACAAGTGTTCTGGAAAGGTTGAAGGTTCCAAGAGGTCCCTGCGCCTGAGTCAGCTCTCTTCAACACCAGAGGAGGCAGTCTCCTATCTGGCAAACTCCTATTCATCCATCAGAACCCATCATGAACGGCCTCTCTTCTGGGAAATGTTTTTCAGCGCCACCAAGGGGAGTTTATATTGGGTTCTCGCAGCATCTGTCATGCAATGTATGGCTCAATTATCTACACATCTGTGTCCTCCAAGGAATGCCTTGAGGGTCACAATGGTGCCTCATTCTTTTCTGTACCCCAAGTACCCAGGACAGTGCCCAGCCCATACTTGATGCTGGGTAAATGTTTGCAGAAGGGATCAGTGGATTGGGGCTCTGCCCATAAATTTCACCCCACCAGCTGGCTACATACACCTGCAGACAGACAGCCAAGCCTCTCACTGGTTGTGCCATCTCTAAACCTGTTCCCATGCAGAACTGAGGAGGGAAGAAACGAACAAGCACTCACTAGCTCACCCTCAATGATTTATTTAGTGGGTGAGCTGGCTGTCACTGTGCCAGCTGAAGGGGTGAGATATCAAGTGGCTGGTACACCAGATGGGGAAGATTCCTGATTCCCTGGGGCACAGACTGTAGGTTCTAAAGAGCCAGGGCACCAGGCAGTTGGCAGTTGGTGTTGTAGGGATTTATTCTCACTGGTTGAACACAGCTGTCAGGAAAGGGTAATGGTTTCTCTAAGTGGGGTCCAGGCACCCAAAGGGCCTGGGACAGATATCACTCCCTGATCACACACCCAGTTTCCTGGTTACCTTGAATCCTCAGAGACAAGAGATAAAGATGGGCCTGCAGGAGAGAGGAAGGATATTTGCCTCTAGGACCCTGGGGCATGGTTCAGAGCTCTTGTTCCTGTGCATCTGGAGGGGCCTGTCCCGAATAGGGGGGAGGGGTCAGAGAAGGGGAGCCGATGGAGTGTGTTTAACAAACTGGTATAAAGTGTTTTCTGGGTGTTGTAAGTGCTTTTACAATTCACTGAGTTGTTTAACCCTCACTAGTATCTTTATTTTACAGATGGGGAAACCATGGCCCAGAGAGGTTCAGGAACTTGCCCCTGGTCACACAGCTAGTAAGTGGCAGAGCTGAGATTCAAACTCAGGCAGCCTGGGCCATGGTAAGAGCCTAGGCTTTTACCCACTACAATAAGGTCACTGCAGGTGCCCCACCTCTGGATCCTGTGGCTGCCTTCCTTCCTCCCTGCACGCCTGAGGATGGGTCCTCTGCCCGGGCAGTGGCCCAGCTTTCCTCCTCGGCCTCTGGCTGTGATGCTGGCTCCACTCAGCCCTGTAACCTCATCCCAGCTGGACATGGTACGCAGCAGGTTAACCGGGCCGAGTTACTCGCCCGTGTGTGTCGGTACGCGCGTGCGCGCGCGCCGGTACGTGTGCGTTTGTGCATGTGGTCACGTGGAGGGGGGAGGGTTGGGC